GATTATCAGAAGAAGCTGAGTAGAGGCAAAATATTGGACATGGGACGAGACTTGAACCCGCAACTCCCGCTCACCGGGCGGTTGCGTTATCCATTACGCTACCGGGGTCACTTACCCTCTCACAACTTGTCAGCTTAATGGCATCTTGTGCCGCAGCCTTTAATAGCTGCTCCTGTTTCATCAGATTAACTATGGTATTTCCCTTTTCTTCCACTCTTTTCCATCAATCTATGTCACTGTTTTACATTTTTTCGCTTTTTTAATACCCTCTTTAGCTTACAACTCTTTATTTTTTGCTGCATGTTTGCACTTTTTTTTATTATACGCGGTCAATGAATCTACTTCTATGCTTTCTATTGTAGAGGCCAACGATTAAGGTTTTCTACATATCCCTTCAGCTGTGAGAACAAATCGTAGAAAAGGGGTCGTACCGTGTCCTGATTAGGGGAGGGGGAGGGGTATGAAGGGTTCGGCCAAAACACCGCGCAGGCCCTACTTATAGCATTGGCTAAGAACTAAACAGAAAACTATCTTGTCACCTATATCATAGTGGAGGGAGTTGAAGGCTACGCGCTCAGTTGAGTGGGCCCGTAAGAACCTCTTTTTCAAGCACTTTTTATTTCATGTTATTTTTGTGATTATCACGAATTTAGGTCATCACTCCTTTCGTATGGCTGAAATATACAGCTGAGACGCGGAAAGTGGATAATTCCTCCTCTGAATCGTTCTCCGTTACCAGCCTCGTCGCTTTTCAAAAAGAGGTAACTTTCCCGGTAGAAAGAAAGAATCTGTAAACTGAAACACGCGCAGTATGGCATTGTTTCAGGCCCATAATGCGGAAGTGGCAGCTTACAGTCATCTGGTTAAACTTCCTGAAGGAAAAGTTACTGTACCCAAAGTAAGAAATGTCTTTCTGCTTGGATTGAAGCACTGTTTTTTTCGCGTTCAATTTTATCTGTTGTCGGACTGTGGATCAGTCTTTAGAAAATAGTTTTTTACCTTCCAGATATACTGTATGAAGAAGTTCACGGAATCGAATCCCGTGAAAGGATATATAATTATGGAGTGCCTAGAAAACGCAGAAGTAGGAATTCTTGCAAATTTCTCGCTTAGAGAAGTCAGACAGGTAATTTTTCCTTCCTTCTCCTCAGCATGAGTATGTACATATATACAGGGGCCCAATAAAAAGGCACTTTTCTGCCTTGACTTTCGAGGCGCTATAAGCTGCGCTTGATCAATTTCTGATCGGACCTTTTTACCACCACATTAAAGTACTATCAGCATAGCAAATACTATCATGATGCTCCGCCACAGCCTTCTGGACCACCGCCATCGAGAGATTCTGCCACGCAACCATGGCTTCGGTGCCTGAGTTCAGCGAGATCGTTGATTTCTCCGCCACTGTAGACCACCCTATTGAACTCCGCCCGAACCAGGTAATTGATGGGATTTAGGTCAGGTGACCCGCTTTGATATTCCATCTTCTTCAGGAACTCAACGCCCTTCCATTCCAAGTAGGCGAGAGTTTTTCCAACGCCCTTTGATTCCATGTGGTGTCACCCAATGCTGTAGCAGTACAAAGTTTCCAAGAAGGTACGGGCGACGACATGTGGGGAGGATATTCTTCTCGAGTTGCTCGATGTAACCGCCAGCGCTCACCTTCAGTCCGGGGTCCACGAAGAAAATATCGGTCTTTCCATTCCAGGTACGTCCGGTCCATCAACCCCGCGCCTTGGCGACTGTGGTGGATTCCTATACCATAGCGACGCGTTGCCGGAGCTGCTCGATGTTGGGGGTCTTTCAGATCAAGAGCACTGGTCTCCAGGTAGCTATCCATGGGTGGCTCCACACTAGAAGTTTCGCAGCTGTTTAGAGGTGACATGAATTCCAAAGGTCTTCTCCAGTCAGGCTGCGACTGGAGATGACTTCATATTTTGGTGTACATGAAGGTGATGGGCGAGCGCCAGCTCCTGCTTATAGAGGAACATCTTGGGTATCTTCCGCCCTGGTACTCGTATCCACGTCCTCTGTGGGCTGCGAAAACTTTGCTGTATACTGCTAAACTCGCGTCTCGGAAGTTGGCATTTTTATTGGCCCTCCCCTGTAGGTGTAATGCAGAGCCGTGGTTTGAGCGCTGCCTGGGAGTAAAACTTTTATTCACGATATCCTCGATTGTTTCTTTTGATAATAGCGTCGAGTAACTGAAGCTTCGGAACCAACTGGGTGAATAATGTCATTCGATAAACGAGGGGCGTGTGAGATGCATTAACTGAAACTCATCTGAAACCTCTCTGGAACAAACGCTTTGTCATTTTCGTTTGCTGACTTTACAAGCTGAGCCTAAGGAACGAATAATTATAAACGCAGAGAGCATTGCCTCAGTTTTAACTGCCTTCTGAGAGATAAGAAACAAAAGTGCTTGAGGGAATGCTCTGTGTGCTATTTAGACCTTTTCTCGTGGAAACGCACTTCGATATGAACGCCACTACTCGCCATGTCATTTTTCTGTTGGAGGCATGGTTGGTCATGTGGGCATCCATCCTAAGAGAAGGTATTGAAGTCAGCCTCAAATAGTTTCTCTATGAAGTCCGATGATTTCAAATAGGATATACTCGTGGTTGTCTTTCGCTGTGCCACCATCTAACCCCCTGCGCTAGTTTATTCTGGAAGCACAAGCGTTAACAAAAAGGTCAAAGCTCCGCTGGTAAAATCGCTCCATTCGAGTGCTGAAATACCGTCAAACAGATATGAGCCGCGCTTACATGTAACTCTCCGCTCTTGCGACGGTCTGGCTGAACAACTTGAGATGAAAGAGCTGCTCCTACTTGAATCTTCCCGGAAGCAGCGGTGACAAATTTCAGCAGAAAATGTAAAATCCTGTCGGTCAGTAGAATACAGCCACCCTGTTCTCAACTGTACTGAAAGCGAGCTGTTTTTGTGAATTGGGTAATACCGTTAGAAAATTTCTTACCCGAACGCTATGGTTTAGCTGTTAACGACTGCAAAGCCTAAAAACCACCGACCATGATGTACCTACAACTCAACAAGTTGAAGTAGCTGCACAGCGATGGCTAACCCAGGAGCACAATCTTTTCAAATAAAGAAACATCCACAAAGGTCGGCCGTATACAAATGAACGCAACGCATCACGCCGCGTAAGCGGTTGATTACTTACCTGACTATAGCAGAACAATGAGTATGAAGGAGTAAGGTTCGAGTCGCAATATGTGGGAAGCGCTGACGAATGATGTGAAAAAGAATGACCAAGGGAAAGGTGTGCTTCAAATAGAGCGAACACAGTTAGTAAAGAAATACTGCACAACCAAGAGAAAATCCTTGCATTCAATTCCCGTCTGTTCAGATTCTCCGCTTCAAAGCTATCCTCGAGGCGACTTCCATCGATGTTTCACCTGAAGAAAGGAAGCAGTTCATGAAAGGCACCTTTTGACAGCATGCGCAGAATATTTGCGTCAGAAGAGGTTTGTGTTGATCTCCTTATGTAAATGTTTCATGCGCGGTAAAGGGAATTTGTAACCGTTGTAGACTTTTTTCATCGCAGTAACGAAATTGAGAAGTTTCCGTTCCAGGATCTGAAAAGGTCAATTTCGTCTTTACACACATTACAAAATGGCCACTTTGAAAAATATGTAGATCGACTGGAGGGTATCCTTCCGGACCTATTAAAATGGGACCGATTGGACAATCTAGCAGACGATTTAGGTGAGTGAAAAGTTTTAGAGGAGTTAGCTCCTTTATTGGTAAGGACGGTGGGAAGGTAGCAGGGCGTCTATAAGAGGTGCTGTACCGTGTTCCCCATAAGGGACATTTCGTGCTAAGGTTGACAGCTATAGCGTTGAGAACATGCACATCTTGCCTGCGCGGAGAGCTCTGCTTATAGAATTTTGGATTTTCTTTCAATTTCACGGAATACATTTTCAGGGATGGATCGTGTTTTATGTCATGGAGACTTCTACCCTATGAACACCCTTTGGAAAAAGGACGATGAAGGGTTTAACTTGGCTGCTGTGATAGATTATCAGGTAACAGCAAATAAAGGACCAAGAAAGGGTTACCAAAGTCATTTACTCATTGTTTAGTGTTCACGTGTTAATTAAAGTCTCAAACGGTTTGTGTTCGAGGGGACGTACTGGCCAAACTAACCATCGCGCCCAGGCCTTGGAAACCTGTCCATCCTACCAAGAATTTCTTCAGTAATGAAGACTAACTGGTTCTTATCTGGGAACCGGAACTCACTGGACTGACCCTAAGCCATTCTCTTATCGATGTTAGGTCCTAACCTGCTTCTGCAGTTCATGTCACGGCTAAACATGTGGCTGTCAGGAAGTGTTTGAGTCCTAGAGCCGTTGCGCTCCCACCGGTAGTTAAGGGCCTGAGTTGGTAGCCATTCGGGGATGGTGCATCTGCAACTGGCTAAAATCTACGCCCTGTGACACGCCCCTTCGTTTTGCTGCTATACCGTCTGTTAGTTTGGCTGTGAGTCTGAACGGAACAGAAGCCCTGACACACAAAATGGACGTAGTATCTTGTGAGTTTTTGATTCACTCCGGAGATTGATGGAGAGTTTCCTAACACCCCAATATACCAGTCCTCATCATTGCGGACTGTCGGGGCGGCTGAGCCGCGCTGCACTGTGACGCGACAGCGGCTGCGGCTCGGTGACGGCGAATCAGCTGATTTCCATGGAATTCGGCTGCGAATTCCCACTTTTTCAGCTCTTCAAGCTTCGAAAGTGGAAGGTGAGTTATTTTGAACAATTTTAAATTGTACTGGCTCTGAATGAATCTGAAAGAATGCAAGCATTTGAATAAATGCCTGAAATAAGGCAAAATACAAGGAAAAGAGCATAATAATAGACATAAAAATAAAGGAAATTAGAGCCAGTACAATTTAAAATTGTTCAAAATGACTCACCTTCCACTTTCGAAGCTTGAAGAGCTGAAAAAGTGGGAATTCGCAGCCGAATTCCATCGAAATCAGCTGATTCGCCGTCACCGAGCCTCGCGTCACAGTGCAGCGCGGCTCAGCCGCCCCGACAGTCCGCAATGGACTATTTCTACTAAAATCATATCATATATCATTTAGCAAATACAAGCAAGCACGATGGATGCTATCTACAATGACAATCTGAAGATGATTTAGCTTGCGCATTTCGGATGTTCTGCAACCGACCTTGCTCTCATTCTCATCACATTCCTCAGCGGAGAGGACAGGCGAGCACACTGGGAAGAACTTCTGGAAGATTTCTATGGCTATCTGAAAGAAGAAGTAGGCAACAGAAAAATGCCCTACACGTTGGAGAAGGTAATGTGATGTATCTTTCGTTTCAATACACCTTGTAAATGTGATCGAGTCATTGCACAGAATGAGCCGCAAATCAGCTATTCGAATTAACTTAGGTACATTAGTTATCAAGGCACTCTGCAGGCTCGTCTGTGAGGTTGATTTTCCCCAGAGGTACGGTCTATTTATTGGAACAGAAAGAGGTATTTCCAAGTACGTTCCGTCACGGATGTGAGGTTGCAGATTGCAGACAGAGAAGAAGCAGAGAATGCGTGTATGAAGGCATAGTCAGCAATGAATGCGCAGCAGGGCACATCGTTGGTTGGGGAATCCCCAACAGGGGGGTCGTATTTGGCCGCCAGGAGAGGGGGGGGTCGTAGTGAGTGCGGCAGCCAGTAACGAGCAGCGCAAATTGTCAATGTGCTGAGTCCTGTACAACGAAACTTGCTTTGTAGAGAACTCGGATATGCAAAAAAATAGTACAAAACTTTCATTCATCAAACTAATCCGAAATAACTGCAAATATTAATAAGTCGACATCATCTCGTAGGTCCGTTGGTGACTAAACAGTACAAACAGTCAAACTCTGGTTCGCTGCCAATGATATGGCGTGTCCGCGGTCACGCTTGGCGCTGAGCCAACCTGTTTTTTTCTCGACAAGCGACAGGACTACCATATCGTTCATATCAGACGTTTTCCAGCAGTTGGTCTCCTTTATCGGAGTCAGCGATTGGCGGAGCACGAATCTGGCAGCGTTGACAGGGACATGTTCCATCATACGCAACGGAAAACACTGTAAACAAGTGCACAGGCTCGCCATGGACCTCCCTGAACCTTATAGACACATTTGCTCGCGTGAACAGACATTACGCACAAGTTGCACCATCCCATCACCTCTGCGCGGCCCTCAGTGCGCGGCGCATCCAAAGTTGGCGTGATCGGCGCTAAACGAACCATATCCTGCTCCTGCTCCACCACAGGATACGTTCTACATGCGTTCCTGGCTATTCGAACACGCTCACTTGAAACGGTACACAGGAAACGGGTTTTTCGCGCAGCTGGGAGTGTTCCTCAAGAAATCCCCATAGCGAGATCTCATGAATCCCGAGAGCTTCAGAAACAGTTCAAGAGGTTTTTAGAAAGAGAAAATCTTCAAACACTCGAAATCCGTTCTCAGATTTGTGAAATGTTGAGTTACAAAAAAAATATATTGATTCAAACCTGTTCAACTTAAACTTCAACCCTTCACTCCCCATGGAATCCCTATGGGCAGATTTCTCTGTGATTTTTGCGACCTTCATAAACGTTTCAGTACTTTTAGGAAGTGCAAACCTTCCTCTACACGAATACGGTCTCCTCTTCCCCACAGGTCCGCTTTTGAGGAAGTTATGGTCCTTCAAAGACACCCTACTTTGCTGAAAATTCTCGCTCCATGGCTAAAATTGCCGAACGATCTGCGGTCACATCTGCAATTACATGCGCTTCTGCTACCGTACTCCAATAATCGGGGTAATGCATTTTTACGGCGGTTTGTATAACTGTTACGTAGTGAGACAAGCCTAACTTTCTCTTTTCCTCGTCCTCAATCTTGGGAATAGACGTTGTTAACACTGTGGTCGCTGATGGCCGCTCCCAGAGAGGGAGTCCACCTCAGGTTAACGAATGCTCATTGAATTTAATCGCGATATATCGTTATTATTACCATGTGTGTTTCAAAACGGCCATCGAAGAAGTTCATCATACGAGTTTCTCATAATACGATTGTACCGTTTTTTGTTTGCAATCATCTCTGTATTGTTCTATTATGTCATGACTTCAAGTCGTCCATTTAGTATGGGCACCTTCATACAAGTAGAATTTCATAGTGGGCGTTTCATAGTTTCATTTAAGGCGAAAAAAACCGAACGGCAAAAAAGGGGGGTCGTACCGAACCCCCAAAAAAAGGGGGGGTCGTACAGGCTCGACCAAAATCCCCATCGAATGCTGTGCCCTGATGGCAGTCGCCACTGAGCGTACTCGGCAACGCCCCTTTTTTCCTGCCTATGCGGATTGTAGGCAGGTTCGTAGCTATAGTACGTTACCACTTCACAACCTGGGAGTGTGTGGCAATGCTGGGGGTAAGGACATACCTTCTATGTCACCGCCCGCGTTCAAAACGCGATGTTCATGCCATATGCATGCTTCCAACAGATTAGCAGCAACACCTCTCCCACCGAGGTCCTGCAACTCTTGCAACGCCTATTTAAGTATGCTATCGATGTCGACGATAAAGAACAGTAGCGCCTAAATGGAACGCGAGAGAAAGTACCTACGCGTTAGACATACGGCTGGCAGTACGGCGTGTTGTATCAGTGGCGTGCTTTCCTTGCGGGAGAAGAAATGAAAAAAAAAACATCTAGCTGCCACTCCATTGCAACGTATTTCCAAGTGGCGAGAGTGGTATCCTTCACAGTAACTGCCCCCCCGCCCTCCTCACTCATTCGAAAGTAAGCCTACAGGTAAGCATTGTCTTTTGGGAGGTACCTTGCACATTCACCTCTGAGGCTCCTCATCCTTACCATGAACGAGTTGGAAGCTGTAAGCACTTGCTTCTTTCGTTCGAACTCTGAACTGAGCGGGTGAGGCAGAGTGGTAAAACGCCCTCACCATGAACGAGTTGGAAGCTGTAAGCACTTACTGAACTCTGAACTGAGCGGGTGAGGCAGAGTGGTAAAACCTGTATAGCATTTGGGACTCATCGGTAAAGAACGCCGTGCTACCAGCTATATGTCTAGTCAGGCCAGTCGTACTTCTTGTGTGCTCCTGTCTCGTCCGCATAGATGACTGTTGTTCTCTAGATTTGGCCGAGATAGACAGCTTGCCGACTCCACACTCCACCTCGCTCCGCTGCATCAGCCGCACGCTAAATAATAGCCAAACGCGCTGTTTGTCTGTGCCCTATCCCTTTTTGTTGTTCTCTATCGTTGAGTTTGTGTTTCGCTTCGGGACCGTTGCAGACGTGGGCTAGACCCGAACCATCCACCTTCCACTACACTCCAACATCATTTCAGCGCACTTTCAAATGACGAAAGTGTAAAGCTCCGGATGCACTCACCTCCCCCATGGCGCACAGGTAAGGGTATAGCTCATCTTTGAAGATAAAATGAAATACGATTTTCACAATAGTCCAATACGGGGTCGTTGAAACAACTGCATCATTTCAGCTGAAAGAAGCTTATCGACAATTTTTTCCAGCCGGTGTATTCACACTGGTTCCATTTTTGGAGGCACTCCTTGATTCAGTGAACCGTGAAGAAGACGAGGAACGCAGGAACAAGGTGCTACTCGTTTTGATGTACTATTACTGAAATCCTCAGCACACTATGCCTAGAAGGCACATTCTTTGCTGATCACTTGTGCGTTTTCAATTTGACGGCTTCTCACTTCTATTGGTTCGCTCACATTCTAGGGCCGCAAGGGACTAAAGTATCAATGAAGAGGGCGAAATGACTCAAATGCGCGCAACAGTAGCCTCTTATCAGGCCACATCCTGTCGTTGCTGGGAAAATCCTTTGTAGAATCCGACCTCCCTCCTCTGGTACGATCCCAACCTTCCCCATCGCCCATCTTATCTACAATCATCCTGAATTTTCCCAATTTCCTGCCATTATTTGGGAGCTAATTTCCGGAAATTCCTTCACTTTTGCCTCAAACAGCTACCGTCCACCGGTAGGAGGGGGAATACATGTAGCGTGCATCAACGGAAAAGTCCACAACCAGAGAGAATTCATCGCGCTAGTTAAATTTCTGTCGAGACCGGATACAACCTCCTCCTCGACCAGGTTCGACATCCCGACTGAATTTTCCCAACGCCTTTACCATGCGCCGACCACTGCCTGGCTTTCGCTTAGTCGCCGCTTTTTAGACGTCTCAGTTCTCGGAATCTTGTTCACATTGACTCAAAGTATTTCAGAATTTGGAGATGACATTAGAGAAATGAACATCTCGCTTTATGTGGCCTCTCCTTGTCTTGTAGTTGTATTGCTTGATTTTCAGTGAAGTGAAGAATTTGTAGATAAAACTAAACATAAACATGAAGTATATGGATTTGTGAAACTTTCTTAAGTTGCTCATGAGTGCCTTTGGTTCTGGTACGATAAATCTCCTGGACGTGCAGGATTAGTGCGCCTAGCAAGACAGAATTCGGCGCCCCCAAGCAGGCGCTGCGTGGCGCCTTTTCCAAGGAAAATCCCCTTATAAAGGCCTATGAAGTTGCAACATACCGACCTGGACGTGGACGCCCACCGTGCCCGCCCGCCTACAAATGTCCGACCGGTACTGACGTTCGTAACGCTTTATTCGTCAAAATAGATATGAAACGAAGGGAAAGATATGAAGCGGCTGCGGTACTGCATGGATATATGAGTACACACATGCAGCCGTATCTACCGCAACCGGTATTGGCACGATGCCATCGGGAATCGGGAATCTCGTCCAAAATAGCCTTCTGAGTCGTGTAGGAGGGCTTCTTTGTAGGTTTTCGACCCTTTCACTTCGCTTTTTCGCCATTTTCCCCCACTATATAGCACACCTGCTACCATTTTAGACCGAACACCCAAATTGTCGTACCTCATGCCTTTACACGCCTATTGGGAACTATTGAACATGTAGAAGTATGATATAGAGGTATAATAGTTGCTTGAGTTTGTTAGCGGGAGCGAACAATGAAGGATTTCCCAATACTCTGATTGCTGGCGAGTGCCGACAAACAAGCATTGTTTTATCCTCGCAGACAATTTCAGTAGCAGTTGGCCAGAGGAATGCAAGGCTTGGTTGGTCCGGGCTAAAACCAAATTGTGATTTGACCTTCAAACACGCTTGACGCGCTTAGCGCTTGTGCCGTTTAGCATGCGCCGCGTGACGCCTTACCCAACCCAATGTGCTCCAGCGCCTAACCAGGGTGCAACATGCCGACCCTGATGCCCACTACAACCGCCCGCCTACAAAGGCCGCCAGTTACATCAACGCTGGTACCCTTATAGTTTCGTGTA